CCAGAACACCAGACTGTGCAGTGCATGTGCACATGTATCCAAATGAGAGCCCTCAGTTCCTGCTCATTTACAACTGGGAAATACAGTCACAGGGCACACACGTGTCATCTTCCCCTCAGACAGAAGGGAGAAAGGGAAGGACACAAGCCAGAAACCAGCCCACAGGCAGAATGAAGACTGAATAACTGCAGAAAGAAAAAAAAGGAAATAGTTCAAGAGTAAAAGTCTTTTGTATTAAATAATTTCAAATGTTTACTAAGGTAAAAATCTAAGAACACTGCTTTCCTCTTTCCAAAATTATGCTGGTTACTATTTATAAACATCAGTTAAAAGCTTATTAAATTAGAGAGGAAAAAAATCAGTGGCATCTTTTTTCCTTTTAGCATCCAGGCAAAGTAGGCTACAAAGTCTTGTTGTGACACAGCAAAAGCGTTTTTCATCACTAGGTGTTCAGACATTATTTGAAACTCCCATCTGTGATGTTAAAAGGAGCTCTTAACACAGCTAAAAATATAGGACCAACCTACTAGTGAAGTCCAAAGCTACGTGCATCTTTGAGGAAAATTTTCTCATGGCAAACCTTTAGATAAAGCCATTTAAGGTCTCAAAAAGCAGTATTAATCATGAAGCCCAATACTTACTTCAAACTATAGCAACTTGTGAAACAAGTAGGTACATTAAAGCCCACCTCTAGTGTACATCTTCTCCACTGTTTGCAGTGCTGATCAGCACTGTTACTTTCTTAGCATCATAAACTCCTGCCCGTAACCAACCCTAGTAAGAAAGCAGACGTTCTTTCACGTTCCTTCTCACCCAGTTAACATTTAAGTTGCAAACAAAAATGAAACGGTTTTAAGAGAAAGATTAACAAAGCCCCAGCTAAAAACATACTCGGGCACTCACACACGAAACGCGGGTTCTCAGGCTTAAACCTTCACATACTGCAACCACCTCCTCCTGCGGTATTAGGAAAGACTATCACTGACGTAATTTTGGGAGAAAATGGCAACGCACACGCCTGTCTGAGAATTCATGTATCAGATCTCCAAATGGAGAACAAACAGCTTCTTCCTCTGAGATGAGTAACAAGTGTATAACATTATTTGGCAAATCAATGACGTATTTAACGGGTGCTAAAGTCACAGACACCTACACGCTGCTTAGTAGCCAATTGCCCTCAATGGCTTGCGCCAGGCAACGTGCTAGCTGGTTTCAAGAAAGGAATTCAGGGCTTGCTTTTTCCAACACACCTAAAGCAGTAACTATCACCAAACCCGCCCTCACCCCCTTTTCCCCTGGAGATGATTGAGCAACTTTATATACTCACTCATCTCCTGGCACAGCCCACTTCAAGAAATGGCTGCTGAGATCCTGGAATCTGCTGCTGCTTTTGGCTACCAAGTCCAAACATTTTGGGAAAGGGAAAGCAACCTAGGAATAAAAGGGAAAGACCTGTAAGAAGGAGAGATACTCCAGGAGAAGGTGTAATTTCCCAAACCTAAGTTTCAAATTCATTCCGAATTCCACCGTTACAGATGTGCACCTAACATAAACCAGTAGTAGGAAGATGTTGAGCAATTCTCCTTTACGCATAACTGAAAATTGTATTGCAACAACCCGTCAAAGGAATATTTGATTTTACTTGAGCAGAACAAAGTCAAAACACAAGTGAGATTGTGTCATATCATGTCATGTAAACAGTCTTTTTATTCTCAGTCTTTTTATTCTGTGGTAAGTAGTCGTAAATGGATTTATCATCTTGTTTATTTGAAGAAAGAGCATTATTGTTCTTCCAGTGTTGCCAAACCCTCTCAGTGCCTTTTGAAAAAAGCCAAGTTTTACTGTACAATGCTTGTCATGGTCAGTTTAGCAGCACAGAACATAAATCAGTCTTTTAAGTACTGAAACTCCGAGTTTTCAAAACAAAGGTAGCTGCAGAAAGCACATACCACCTACCCAGCCCATTCTACATCTTCTCAACATTACTGCACAAGATGTTTTCTCTCTCTTCCTCATTCCTTAGTGCTTGATTTTCTTTCCTGACTTGACACCAACCAAATTTCAGCATAACCTCTACTCTAACCTAGTATCACTTACAGTAGAATTGAATTACTGATAATCATTTATGGGCACAGTCAGATAAATGCCACCTGGACAAAGTTCATAAAACAGCTCGTTCATGTGAAACGCTCCACTAAAGCCTCCCCAAGTTCATGTCACAGTGCCCTTCCCACCACATGGTCAGTAGATGTGCTTCTCCACCGTTTTGTGAAGGTTACCTTACAACGTACAATGAGGCACGAGGCACACAGTTCCTTACCCATCAAACAAAAAGTTGGGATTTCAGATCAAAGAAACTGCAATAAGAAAAGCAGAACTGAACATTTGGGCGATACAGACAATAAAATAAATCTGTACCGACAGCTGTTTGAAAGGCTAAACAGTAGCTTTGAGACACTTCAAGTGCTTTATTTCAACTCTACATATGCTCTTAAATTATTAAGAACTGTCCTTCACTAAAATTTGAGTGAACTGTGATGAAAAAACAGATAACCACCTTGTGACAATTCTGTAAATCACCTCCCAAGTTTTTAGATCAAAAATAACACAATGTTCTTCAGCAAGGAGAAGCTTAAGTAAGGCATCATCCACAAAACCCACAGTAAAGCAGGACAACAATTTTTTCCCGGTCATATGGTGCACACAATTGCAGGCACTGCTGCACCCCAAACATGAGCAGCATTCTCTTTTCTGAAAGCTCAGGAAATTAAGGAGAAGGTTCCTAGCAAGTAATTGCACATATCAGAAGAACGTCCCCAGATTGTGTTGGGAGTCAGGGCCTGTGCAGGACAAATAACTAAATAACTCAGTTCTGAAATAGACAGCAATTACCCAGAACTTCAACAGCTTCTGCATGATCTCAAAAACAAACAACAAAACAACCAAAAACCCCCAATCAGATGAAGGTATAAGCTTCCTCAATGAAAATAAACTATTTGAAAACATTTACACAGAAAACAGACAACACATTGCCAAGAGATTTTTAAATTCAGTTTTATTTCAGAAACAAAAGACAAAGACCATTAATTCATTTAGCAGACACAACCAAAATTAAAGATTAAGCCTTGCTTATTCTTTTTCAAAACTCATTAAGATTCTACCAAGAAATACTCCCACTCGTTCATGTAGCTCTTTCAGCTCCCTGCTGCCTAATCAGGTAAAAATCTAAATGAATCCCAGAATAGAACAGGTTATCAGTTCATATTATGTTACTGCATCTGTATCACAGCTAATTTTTCACGATATGTTAGTAGATAAATGAGTTGAAGCAGCAGCTTTCTACAACGTAACAGAATAGCACTTAGTATCTACTTTTCTTTATCTATCTGCCATCGCTTCTTGGAATGCCAATTCACACTTAAACGCCAACTCAGGAAGCACTCCTATTCAAAACACAACTCAAGACAGACTCAGATATGCACTGAATATTGAAAAAAAAAAACAACCCTGCAGTTCAAAATTTGTATAACATTTGCTTGAGTTAAGAGCTAGTGACTGAGCCCTGAAATCCTTTGTATATCATTCATGCTTTTTCCAATCCAAATGCTAACGAGGCAATATCAGCAGACAAACAAGGAAAGCAAATAATTCAAACAAGGGGTAAGGCCGCCCAACTAGGATCTGGACTAACTACACATAAACACTGATCTTTCTCTTTGGCAAGAGAAGATGAAGTAGTAAGAGGCAGAGTAGTTATTAAAACTTGCCAGGACTTCAGATGCACGGTGAACTGCCTGATCCTACTGAGCACGCTTCCGAAATTCTTCTGGTCTGTTAGGACTAACTTCAGTGTCCAACAGGTTCAACAGATTTTTTTTATTCAAAACTCCAACAGTCAGCTTGGCCACTAGTTACTCTGTAACAAGTAATCAAGTAATCATTCAAGTGTTACCCAAGAAAAACATACTAGGTGGGAATTTGGCCCTTATCAGCCAGTAGTTTAAGCCTTGGTTTTGTTGTGTGCTTGTACAGTAAAGCGCTCAGATGGTGACAACGTGCGTTCTTAGGTGACCACTACTCATATTCAACCCAGTAAGTCCAGAAATTCCATAATTACCATTTAACTATTGCTCTAGGTTCTCACATATAAACATTTTCACTTTGTGCCAATTAGTAAGACCCGATTAAAGATTATACTCTGAGACTGAAGAAAAAAAAATTACTAAACCAAAGAAACTCCTTTGGATCCAACAAATAGTAATAGGAAACACTTTTCAATCCAAAGGGTTCCAAGATTGTTTGCACTGATTAAGTAAATTGCAGCTACTAGGCAACATTACAACATGCCTAAAATCAGGTTTAATACATATATGTCTAGCTATAGATACCCCCACTCATACAAACATGCCACTTCAATTAAAGCCTAACTCTGAAAACTAGCTCTGGCTTGATCAACAGGTAGCAATATCAGATTATGGCAGTAAAATAACAATTTCAGGAACCATTGGGAATACTTTTGAAAGTGCTTGAGATTGAATTTGGCCAAGATAAAAATATTAATGCACTTGGAAGTTAATTTCTCAGACACCTGGAAGTTAATTTCTCAGACACCTGGAAGTTAATTTCTCAGACACCTGGAAGTTAATTTCTCAGACACTTGGAAAATTAATACTTTTCTATTTAAATTCTTACAGATTACAAAGAACAATTTCCTCCCCCCAAAAAACTGTAAGATGTAATCAGTTTAGTTGTAAAGTGTATGTAATATGAAAATATCCTTTCCTATCTCCCTTCGGTCAGTTATATCCCAACCTAGCATTAGTAAGCAAAGATTATCTTAAAATATACATTGGGAATAAAATTTACATAGATTGAAATTAAACTTTCCATTTAGCTTCATTTCAATCATAAGGAATGAGACATAACCAACATTTTACTCAAACTACTGCATATCATTTTACTTCTGGACGGCCAAAAATGAAATTCAAAGGAAGTGTCTACAAATACATACAGATAACTATTTTATTAGAAATATTGAGCAACTTAAACTCATTCATGTTAAAAAGTTGATCTGTAAGGATAATCACAGTGTCATTAAAGAAGTTCTATAGTGTGATTTAGCCAGGAAGGTTTTACAATAAAAAAAAGTGAAACAGTATTTTGATTAAACTTATGTTTGCTTCTTTAATTGAAGATAGTTTTTAATCATCAATTTCCTTAAAAACACCGTATGTTGTTAACAAGCAGTAAAGCACTAGTGTTGAAAGGCACTAGGATTATTAGTTTCTGTTACCTAGTTTCCAATACAGATACAGGCACCTGAAAGTTTAATAGATCAAGCCTGTAAACCACTTCTATATTTGTGCGGAATTCTGCTGCATTCATGAACATCTTCAACAGGTTGTCCTGCAGCTGTAAGGACGCAAAATTCAGAGTAAATCTCTGCAGCACGCTTTACAAGTTGGATCTTTCTTTGGCAGACATACGAGATGTGGACTGTGTATATGTCCTAATTACATCCTAAAAATAATAAAAAAAAAAAGAATTATTCAGAGCAAGTTCCATAAAAAGGAACACGGGGTATTTCAGAAAAAAACCCCAAGTACTTGAAACAACAATTTGTTGTCCTACGAAACAAGCACTGAGCCCAGGAGAGCCTTGTGGAAATGTTTCATTACCATTACAAAGAGTGGGTAATCATTTGGTCTGAAGAATCAACCTGAACACATTACACATCACATACAGTTATCTTCCAGAAGCCTCACAAAAACCCAACTGAACCAAAGTAATAGTACATCATTGGTTAAACAACATTTAATTAAGTGTAATTAGAGTGCTGTTTCCTCATTTTGTAGTTCTACATGCAATGACTTCTACCATAGTGGATGACACCAAGCTGAGAGGTGCAGTCGACACAGCTGAAGGACATGACACCACCCAGAGGGACCTGGACAGGCTGGAGAAGTGGGCCTGTGTGAACCTCATAAGGTTCAACAAGGCCAAATGCATGGTCCTGCACCTGGGTCAGAGCAACCCCTGGTATCAGCACAGGCTGGGGCATGAGGGGATGGAGAGCAGCCCTGCCGAGAAGGACTTGGGGGTACTGGTGATGAAAAGCTGGATGTGAGCTGGCAATGTGCACTTGCAGCCCAGAAAAACCAACTGTATCCCGGGCTGCATCCAGAGCAGCATGGACAGCAGGTCAAGGGAGGGGATTCTGTCCCTCTACTCAGTGCCTGTAAGAGCCCCCTGCAGTGCTGCCTCCAGCTCTGGGGCCCCAAGATCAGAAGGACATGGACCTGTTGGAGCAGGTCCAGAGGAAGCCACAAAAACGATCAAAGGGATGGAACACATCTCTTATGAAGACAAGCTGAGAGAGTTAGGGTTGTTCAGCCTGGAGAAGAGAAGGCTCCGGGGAGACCTTAGAGCCCCTTCCACTACCTAAAGGGCGCCTACGGGAAAGCTGGGGAGGGACTCTTGATCAGGGAGTGTAGTGATAGGACGAGGTGTAATGGTTTTAAACTAAAAGAGGGAAGATTTAGACTAGATATTAGGAAGACATTTTTTACAATGAGGGTGGTGAAACACTGGCCCAGGTTGCCCAGAGAGGTGGTAGATGCCCCATCCCTGGAAACATTCCAGGTCAGGTTGAACAGGGCTCTGAGCAATCTGATCTAGTCAAAGATGTCCCTGCTCCTTGCAGGGGGGTTGGACTAGATGACCTTTAAAGGTCCCTTCCAACCCAAACTATTCTAGGATTTAAACCAAATCGGAATCCAGACTAATTTTTCACTTTGTTGAGTTTACAAAAGAAGCTAAGATAATTCACAGCCAGTCAAAATTCAAATAGAGAAATTAGCAGTGTACCTTTTTCCCGCTGTCAGCATTGTATTTGTCCAGCAAAGCCTGAATACGGGCACCATAGTCAGGATGAACATCAGTGAAGTTTTTCACCTAAACAGGAAGATGGAATAGAAAAGGCAACAAGATTTTATGTCAACTTCAAATGTATTCAACACATTTTCTGCTCTGTGGTCTACCAGCAGTAAATATCATAAAGAAGAGAAGGAGGAGGAAAACTCTTTTCTAAAAGTTTAATGCTGACCAGCCAGAAAGGAGCTATCAACATCTTCAAACACTATTTCTATTATCTCACATAGAGCTCTTTCCTGATTTAAACAAAGTTCCACTGGGAAGGATAAAGATCCAACCCCTCCCTGGCTCCCACTATCTTTTCCTTGTTTAGAGCAAAACAGTCACTTGATTTTCAAAACACCAAGCTAAAGACCTCCTTGATGTTCAACATCAATCCTAGTCTTCCCATCAGGAAAAAGTTACTTCAACATGTTACACATTATTAATATTATGTACATAATATTAAGTGTTCCATTTTGATAATTCCTGCATGAGAAAGATCTAGAACTTGTCTGCTCAGAGAAGAATTCTGATCTTCCTTTCCACAAGCATACTGCCATTTTCACAAAGTTACCAGACTGCAAGAAAACTTGGAACAAAGAGCAAAGGCTAAAAAACAAATAGGCAACTTACAGCTCTCTTCTGAATGAAGAGTTGTGCATCTTTAAGATGATCAGCAATATTTTTACACAGCCTTTGGCGTTCATCCTCCTTCAGCACTTTGGTATAGAATTCTCGCACCTTATGATTAGAAACAAAGTTTTATTTTGAAATTCTCAACAGCAAGTCATTCTACCTAAAGCAGCCAATACTACTTAATAGACTTTTAGGATTCATTATTACTGAAAAAAGAAGAGTTTTCACTCCTACTAGTCAAGCAACACTTAAAATACTCAAAATACTCAAAAGGCATCCAATTTGTGGGTTTTTTTTTTTTGCAAACCTGCTAACAACTCTTTTATGTCTAGCTTGAAATAACTGTTGCTTATTGAATTAATGAAAAGAGATATTGCTGTTGGAGTCCAATTCAGGAACTGATGATCATGACATTACATGAATACTTGGATATCTGCAGACACCAATCTCAAGAAGACAAAGTCACAGCCTCTAGATACCCGTGCCCAGAATATGGGCGGCAAAGGTCTGTGAGAATTCACTGCTGTCCTATCAGCAAAAATTCAGTTATTCATGATTTTAAGCTGTACGGAGATTTTCCAAGCTGTCATTAGAGCTGAACTTCAGGTTAGCTCAGATGCTTCAGAGAGAAGTCATGTTTGACCAATTCTTATTAATACTCTCTAAACTCATCCTATAAACTCATCTTAGGTAATAAGCAATATAAAGCTTTTTCATACATCATACCTGAGTCACATTATCTTCATTGGCACTATTGAAGCGCTGCACATCTCCGGACACAGACATGCGGCTTTCCTTTACCACAGGCTGATCTTCTGGACCAGTAAAACTATTTGGATAATAATTTGGGGCACCACCTAAAAAAAAAACCAGAAAAACCCCGCAAAAAGAAAACAATCAGATGTTTGTTTTAAGACAATTAAGACAAAGAATTCTTTGCCTAGAAAAATTTAAAACAATTACCCAGTTATGACTCACTTCAATAAAAACAGTTGTCAGTATTTTTCTGTCAACGTACAGCTCAATGTGAGAAGCTCTGTCTTCAAGCCAGTACTTAACAGCGCTTCTTACAAACAGAATTTCAATAGCTTTTAGGGGAAAAAGTTATTTGTTTCAGAAATAGGAGGTCTGGCCACTCTCACAACACCACTGCTCAGACAATTTTAATAGACGGAGTCAATGGAAGTTATTCAGCGTTTTAATCCAAGGCAGCATAAAAATACACTTCTAAATGCATATTTGAAGCATTCCTAATCTTAACTATGTAGGGGGGTATTTTAAACACATAACAAACTTACAGAACTGCATAAAAGTAAACTGATTATCTCTTTGTGGACACCAGCAGCTGTTTCCAAGTTCTTGTTTTACAAATATTTCCCTCTCCTCCCTCCGCAAGTATTAGAATTCATAGCCCAGAGGAATACAGTTTTTGGCATAAGGCACAGCTTAAGCATATCCTCGTTTACTCCCAGGTGTAAAACAGTCACTATTGGGCAAACACTGACAGAACTGAATAGAGGTGATGTTAAAGCTCCAGTCTTGGCATTTATACTCTTGCCTTTCGCAATCTCTTAGAAATCCGACAGCAAAGCACTTTAACAAAGCAGACTCAGTATATGAAAGTCAGTCTTTAAATATAAAAAAGTGCAAATACTGATTTCTCAGAGACATCTCTATTACTTTTACATTAGATTTTTGCCTAGACGTAGAAACAAAGAGGTAGTAATTAACTTCTGTGAAACCAATTCTCTTGTATATTTCATTTTAAATAATTAATATTTTAGAAGTTTTGCAATTAAGTCCCCTTTAACAAGTACTTTTCTAGAAGTCTTTAAAGGAACATAAACATTACTGAATTCATTTGACTGAGGGTGTTGTCCTGCAAACCCCCTTTCACTAAAAGGCTATTTGTAAACACATCTTTTTAAACACATCTTTAGCTTCAGGTGGTTTTTATACTTTTAAACAAACTCCCCACCGCCTGTCCAAACATCCAAAGCCTCCTTTTCCTGGATTAATAAAAGATACATACACCCATTCTAAACAAGTATGTAAAGATGACAAACATTCTACTTTCAGGAACCAAGAAGTAGTTATACAGTGATGTCTGAGTTGAGCGAAAAGATCACAAGAGACACCAAACAGTTGAGGAGAAAAAGTAGCATTTTTTACAGTATACTAAGTTAGTAATATAAACCAAACCCACATCTGTTTAGCAAGTATCATAAATCCCCTGTGAACAGAAGAGAATTCTGCAGTCCATGTGTAAGTATAATTATATTTAAAGATATTTTCATTACTACCTTGGTTGTCAGAAACACACATTGGCCCATCCCTCTGGTAATTGGCCACACGAGTTCTGAAGGGGCAGTTCACAGGAATTTGTAGATAGTTAGGTCCCAGGCGGTGTCTATGAGTGTCAGGATACGAAAAAAGACGACCCTACAACATTGATCGCAAACATTAGCTACTACTTGCTGAAAGAGATCACTTAAGTGGTATATGCAAATTCAATGCACTACACATTAAATTGTAAAAAGGAAAAGATTGTTTCCTTTGCATATATATTCCTGACATACTTTAACATTATCTCCGAAGTGACACTCAGCCACAAACTAACTTTGCTGGAACACCAGCGAAGAATGGCAGATTGAGCTGCATTTATGCAGCTTGGGTATGTCCCACCAATTTCAGAACGCTAAACCTATTCTGAAGCAGGAAAACGGTTACACATGTAGAGACGAAAGTGACTATAACGGTGCTAAATGTTCCTAAGGAATACTATAATATTTTCCTACTTATTTTCAACCTTAGATTTAAAAACTGATTACATCTGAAATATGGTAGTCCCTTATTTATTTGCTGAACTGAGTCTGAAGCAGTTCTAGCGACATCTGGATGCCAAGACAACAGATCGATTCTGACCATGAAGTTTGTGGGAGCAAAGAGAGGCAAAACAAAAGCACTACATGATGGTTCCAGAGTTTATCTAGTTAAAACTGTCAAAATACCATCTTGTTTCCATGGATTTGAAACAACAATCTGGTTTTAATATGAAAAAGCATAACATGCCAACATTCACAAGTCTGCTGGCTGCAGCAGACTACGCAGTCTGTCTTATCTGATATTTTGACCTGTACGAAATCTGACACAAACTGCAAGACTATTCTTTAGAAGTAGTATCAGGGATTAGTTATATCTGTATTTTAGAGCATTTGAAGTCCACCTCACACTCATAAGAGTTTACAATTCTAACATATATTGTAAAAGCATGAATAAATATAGATTGCTGCTATTGTTTTATCCCATGCTTCTTGCCAGACTGACAGAGCTCCCCATCAACTTTGATAGTTGTTGCAGATGCCCTTTAAGTTCTAGATTTTCTACTGCTTTAGTTCTTTCCTGTTCTCTTTATATTTAAATTTTGAATGAGCACATCAAATGGTGACTACGAAAAAAAAACATTAAAAAATAAAAAAAAATATAATCAGTTGCTTTCCATGGGTCAGGTTTACCACCGCTACACAAAAAAGGACAGGCATGCTTTCATGAACAGCAAAGCAAACACAATGCTCTTCAGGGAAAGTCTTCTGTGCATTGTAGCTTACCTGCAGCATTTTATCAGGGCTAGGTTCAATACCAGGTGGCATGTTGCTAGGATCATAGGCCATCTGTTCTACCTCTGCAAAGTAATTGACGGGATTCCTGTTCAAGACAAGCTTTCCCACAGGGATGAGAGGGTAGTCACCGTGTGGCCAAATCTATAAGACATACATTAAACACACATACATTAAAATCAACATTATCGTAGGATCGTGTAGTTTCAGTAATTACTAGGCAGTATTTGCCGGATTTGAGTCTTGATTGAAAAAAATACATTACTGAAGAAATTTATTTTTTGCTAACAAACATTGAGAAACGTCTTATTTTAAGAAGTCTTTTGCAATTAATACAGAGTACTAATGCAACTTATTTCATCACCCCAGCATAATCTCAGCACTTGACTACTTAAATGAAATACCCACAGGCACTTGAAAAACTGCCTAGGAATGCAATATCGTAGGTGGAACTGGTAGCGTGATTGTTTTCAGCTACTTCAAAATGCAACCAGCTTAACTAGCCTTTTATTTGTCATCTTAGCCCGCACTTTCAAGTTTGAGTCTTCAGCCATTTTGGGAAAGCAATATTAGAGGAAAAAAAGTGATACAAGTTTACATTGGTATATTTCAACAAGCCATTCCTTGAAACAGCAATTGGAAGCATGACAAAAATCAGACCAACAGTCAAGCTACATCATCAACAATGCTTAAAAATAGCGAGTTCAGGGTGTGACTGTATGATCTGAGATCACACTTTGGAAACGCAGTTCAATTGTAATCTACAGGCCTGGAATCAAGCCCCATCCATATATCTGATGTTACTCTTCCTCAGTGAAATAACATCAATATAATTTCATTACCAGAACTTCTGACTCATCATGACCATATAATAAAGAGTACACTTAAAACAGAAGGGAAGACTAAAAGGACAGACTAACTTTATTGACAGGGACTAGTAAGAAAACAGTGTTACTCCATGGAAACTGTTTCACTTTTTTTTTTTATAGGTAAGCTAAGTTCTCACATTTGCTACTTTTTGATCTCATGACCTTTCTTAAACTAGCTGAAATTGAACATTCACAACAGTATCAGAGATACCTTAGTTAAATCAAAAGGATTAAATGGAAACTTCTCTGCTTCTTCAAACGTCATAACTTGAATGTAGAAAGACCACGATGGATAGTCCCCCTTGGAAATAGCATTGTAAAGATCACGTATTCCATAATCGGGATCAGTAGAAGCCAATCTTTCTGCTTCTTCAACAGGGAGATTTTTGATGCCCTGGTCAGTCTAAAAGCAATAAAAGCAGTTACAACACACAGAAAGCACTACAGAAATCATTAATAAGAATGTGCTGTAATAAGACTTAGCATCAAAGAACACGATTGTCTATCTTCCAATCTCCAATAAACTTAGCAAAGAACATGATTGTCTATCTTCCAATCTCCAATAATTTGAGTTCACTCAACAGCTGCGATCCGGATAAAAATGAGCTCTCTGATAGACGTGAAATAAATATGTAATGCTATACCCCAGAATGCAAGGTATCAAACATGAATATATGATCCCTGCAGTACACCAAGTAAAGCAATTTCCCCTCTCTGCTTACAGGATGTGGTGCTCCTTTACTATCTCATCATCCCACCTTTTCCTACAGACCACATGCCAACACAAAGTGATAAAATGGTTGCAGCCCTCTGGGCTGAAAATTCTGGCTACTACATGAATCTCAATTGCCCACCTCCCCACCTCTATTTGTGACAACTTTAGTACTAACCAAAATTTCATTTTAATAAGTTTTTGACAACTCAAAGGCTACAAACTGTTATACAATCCCTTAGTTTAATGTAATGGTTTCAGAAGTCTTGCTTCGGGCATAGATGTCTAATGAGGTAAATTGCATTGTCTTTAAAGCCTTGCAGGGAAGCTGTTTTCAAGAGAAATAAGCTACAGACTGCCTTCTCACACAAGTGTGGAAATTCCGAGGGCTTCAGCTGCAGAGCTCTTGTAAACAGAGTTTTTATATTCTGACATACAGTTGAGTCGATCTTAAAAATACTAGATCAATGCAGCTCATATCCAGAACATAAACGGGAACAAAAACCAGATCGAGACTGAGAGAACTTTTACCTGAAAAAGCAGCTGTTGAATCTGAACTACTGCGTAGCCATCAATGTGAAAGAGGAAGACATCACACACTGAATAAAATGCCTTTCCAAAGGGCTAGAGGATTCTTGCATCTGCACTGATGATAGCAAGGGAGTCTGATAGGAAGTACGAGGCTGAAACGCAATAAGCTGACCTAGGTGCTCAGAGCTCACCACACAAGTAGACCAAGTTCTCCAATAATAAGAGACAGCTCCCCTAAGAAGAGTTTTTCATAGTCTAGTAAATACCTACTGTGTCATAGCAGGAAAAATGATGTTGATTATACTCATTAAAGGCATAGAAGCCATATAAAAACACCCACACACCTTTTTGATTGACTAACAAGTCTTTTCTGACTGAAACCTGGAGTCGCAGTACATTTTTAGACAGGCTATTTAAATTGGTTTTTATCCAATATGATGTATACTTCTAATAGATAACTGGAAAAAAAAAAAAACATCAATACCTTCACATGGAATTTGCAATAAACGGCTCTTCCGTTAGCGTTAACCAGTTTAAAAGTATGTGATCCATATCCATTCATATGGCGGTAGCCATCAGGAATACCACGATCACTGAACAAGAAAGACACCTGAAGAGAAGGATCAAACAATATTAATGGACTCACCAGTTCAAGGATAAAGTGATCATTCAAGACAAAGTTCGTTTATTGCATTAATCTGCATCACTGGAAGCTATCTTAACCTTATGAATTCCTTGAGGAATTTCTAGTTTAAGTTTTAAGAGTGTTAATGAAGTACGACTGCTTTGGTTTTGCACAAAGAACAATTATGAATTAAATCTATGTGAAGTTTTATGCCCACATGAAATATTTGGTGAAGTACAAGACATAAGTCTAGTGATAATGTTATGATTTCCCCTACAAGCACAAAGCAGGTAAGCATGGATAATTTAAGTTACAAATATAAATAAGATTTTTTTCCCAGGTTAAAGACAAAATCTGAAAACTGAAGTCCTTAACAACTAGTTCTTCAAAGTCTCCAAGCAGTAAACATACCACCATGCAAACATATTCAAAATGCTACTTTGCAGCAGTGTTTATGATCACAATGCTTGTGGTACTTCTTTTTCCAATTAGTAATTACTGGAAGGCTTCTGTACAAACACATTTTTTAAAAAAAAAATTAAAAAATACAACTGCATTTTTAATTTTATATTAGCTTTTTTGCATAACACTTGGATACAAATACATTTCAGAATAATTAGAATGCACTGTGAATTCTAGTCATTTTTGGAGTTGATCTAACATGCTACACAATATACAGCTTTAAATAAACTTCTAAGACATAACATTATTTTCCCAGTATTTTACTGTTCTCCAACATTAAGTTTATTGTTCACCAGGATCTCCACTGCTTTAGCATTAGAAAACTTAGCAACTTCCCCTTTATCCCTATATAAAATATGATTATGAAAACAGAAGAATCCCATCCGTTTCAGAGTCGTTAAAAGAAAAAAGGCTAGATGCAGGTACTAATAGCCTTAAAAGTTATTGTAGGCCTTTCATCTGTACTGTTCCTAAAAGATTATGTAGGCTTCTAGACAAAACATGGAAAAGAGATAGTTAAAAATATATGTTGTCATAACATGATTTTCTTAATCATACAAAATAAAGTCAAAGGAGAACCTTACCTGATGCAAAGACTCAGGGCGAAGACTCCAGAAGTCCCACATCATGTCAGGGTCCCTCAAATGGGTCTGAGGGTTCCTCTTTTGGCTATGGATGAAGGACGGAAACTAATTTGTCCAGAAGTGGAAAAGAGAGGAAGGAGAGGGGAAAAAAAAAAAGAGTTCTGTAACACCTCCAAGTTATATGGGGTATATGGCGCATACTAAGCAACTCCCAGTACAAAACAAGATGTACAGTTTTTTTTTCAATACACTTAACTATGAAAGGAACAGCACACCGCAAGATGAGACAAAGATGTAAGATCACTGAAAAAAAAATAAAATCTTCTATTGTCATACAGCTCCTGCAACCAAATTCATTACCCTAATTTTACTAGTCTGTGAAAGTGAAGCATTTCCAATTAGGATAAACAGGCTGCTCAAAGCTGAAGAATGCTTTCCCTTTGTGACTGATAAAGTCAGAGGAAAATCAAATTTGTATATCTGAACTTTACTGAATATCTGACTCCTAAATGAATACAGAGAGGCTATAAAATATCTGTGCAGAACTCCTCCACTCAAGGCAAGTCGCTCCACTTAAAGTGCTGTTCAACTTATATTAAAAGACAAAAAAATCAGATTTAATAAAACAAATTTGCAAGAAGCTTTGAATGTGTTTGACCTCTTTCCCCCCAGCTCCCCCCAATATCCTCAGAATGAGAAAACTGTCTACAGAGTAAAACAGCTAATTTAAACACAACTAAATGCGTGTGCTATTTGTGGTATCAAACCACATAAGTAATCAAGCATTAGCTCTTAATTTTTCTTTTTTAAAAACACCTTTTCAAGTAAAAAATGTTCAGACCATCTAACAAACAAGAAGCGTGTCAAAACAACAGTTTTTGCTTCTCAGTGAAGCATGAACACGATGCGAACGCACTTTTGGACTCTTTTACAAAGTACCCTCACCTTTTGTGCTTACTCACCAACATTGCATCCCGAATAAAGAAGATAGGAGTATTATTTCCCACAAGATCCCAGTTACCCTCTTCTGTATAGAATTTCATTGCAAAGCCTCGAGGGTCACGAACGGTATCAGCTGACCCAGATTCTCCAGCTTGAAGAAACACATGAACATATAGAAGTGTTACGACACGAAAAGCATACAGATTGTAAGCATAAAAACACAGAACTTGAGAATGCACCATAAAATCCTAAAAGGGGGGCGGGGTATCAATTTAAGTCTTTTCTAAACCAAGGAATTTTTGGCGTATTTTCAACACTACTTCAGGCACTGGAAGTTTCCAAAGTGTGAACAGACACCCACCCAAGCATTTGGGCCATAGTTACAAGAAAGAAAAAACAAGTATATCCACTTGAACCAATGAAGAGTGGAATTTGCATTACCACTAACACATACAACATCATGTGGAGTCTCCCACTCTGGAGACATTCAAAACCCGCCTGGACGCTGTCCTGTGCAACCTGTTGTAGGTGACCGTGCTCTGGAAGGGGGGGTTGGACTAGATGATCTCCAGAGGTCCCTTCCAACCCTAACCATTCTGTGATCAGATTATAAGGCTGAACCGGCAAAAATACACACCAGTTTCTGTACATCAAATCCCAGTGTGAAAGCTCACATTTGGAAGGCAGCAATCTAAACAGCATGCCTAATAAAAAGGGAACTTATTATAGAAGAGTTGTAACCCTTTTAATTCTCCTCCTGCTTTATCCAAAACAGCCCTTTCAATGGGTAACTTAAATCAGAGCGAAAGTGCCTACCACAATACCTGAGCACACAAGTATTGAGGAACAGCTGACAGTAACCCTCATGATGAAATAACAAGGACATTCATTCTCTCATTGAAAAAGTAGTGTACTACAGAACAGCTAGGAAGAAACATGCTTAAACACAGCAGGAAAAAGAAAAGGTAATGTTGCAACAACCTACTTCAGCAAACAGTCCACAGATCAAACCCAGCTGCACATCTTTCGCCTGTATAACTTTCCATGACTCCTTAAGTTTTGGTGACAGGAAAAAGCCAGGAGGCCAAAACCAGCAGCTCCCTGAGCCTTGCTGGACCACTTTCTCTCCAATAATAATGAAGATTCAGTTTTGGAAGTAGCATTTCTTTTCTTTTAAATACAGAAAGTAGTAACACAAGTTTTGAAAGATTATTAATTGGTCAGACAAGATATTGATCGTAATGCATGTTTTAACTAATATCACTTAAGATTTTGTTAGTTTCTTCTTTCTTAAAAAGCTGAATGCATAGTTTGTTTGTGGAAGATTGTTTATTCTTCTTTGCCTAGTATTTACTTTGCAGCATTCATCCCCACAGCTTAAAAGGTTATAGGAATTTAACTTTCAGGTGCTAAACCACAGCACACAAGCATTGATGATGAACCATCCAGAAACAAAGCAAACTTCCAGTCAGGAAAAAAAAAAAGTCAGACTATCCTTTCTCTCACATTCCAGAGGGAAAATGGTCTACAGAGCTCTGGCAGAAAGATACAGAAGCTGCTTAAGGTCTTGCAATTTAAATGAAATTCACAAGAGGAACAGGTTGGCAGAAAGCATTTCAAACTACCTTAAGTACATTAAGTGTTCCACAATGCAAACATTGCTATCAGTGTAACTAAGGTACACACATAAGAAGATACACAATAACTTCAGAGCCTTACCAACAGTGGAGAATCGTATAGCAATCGGAGTTCTTTTTCCAATGTGTTCAAAGACTTTTGCCTTACAATATTGGGTAATATCATGCGTGACTTCAAAATAGCCAAAAGCTCCTGAAAAAGAGTCAATTCAAAGTATCAGATCTAGATACCTTCCTTCCACTCACAGCATCTCTGTTATTCCATTATGGTCCGACATAAAACTTTAAGTCAAAATGAAACATGGAAATACACCAGTTTAAACAGAGTATCTATCTATGCACTGAAACACACAATTTATTTTCACAAAGTGAAATTTACTTAACAGGAACTACTATTTGCATGGTGCTCATTCTCCCCTCCTTAACAGATTGTTAACAATTCCCAGCAGCAATACAGACCTCATTTGTACTGTGCCAAATAACAAACAGTAGCTTTTTGGATGCTCTTCTGCCAAGATTTGCATGTTTACCTCAGAGCAAGACAAGTACTTCTTTAATCCTGATATGAGTTGCAGAATTTTTGGTCCACCTGTATGCTGGATGAAGCAACACAGTTCTTCCCACCCCCACAGAGGAATTTTTCCCATGTACGTTCACATTATATTAGAATTCAGTCCCCTATTTTCTTTTTCTAAGGCAATACATAACAACAACAAAAAAATCAGGGCTGCCAGTTCTACCGTACTAAGATAAATAAAAAATTTTAAAATTAGTTGGGTTAATTTGTAATTTAAATATTAGACCATCATCTTGCTTTAGTAGTCAGATACACTGGATGGCAAAGACAAGAATCTCTACCACATAACATGCAAACAGACATTAAAATACAGACAGGTAAGTCTTCCCTTCCAGACAAATGGGGTACTATGGAGGAACAGATCTAGGAAGCAGAGATTACAGCAAATACAGTGAAAATCTAAAGGCTATAACTACATTTTCTCTCTCTTTTTTTCCCTAACAGTTTTTCAGTGCTTAAAGTTTTGGTATCGAGTTCTTTTAAACCAGGCCATACCACTGTTGTTGATATATAGTATATAATAGTAAATTATAGATAATATGATGCAATTTATCTGTCACAATCTTTATGTTAAAGTCTAATTCTACACAGAGAAAAAGTATGTGTTTTTAAACATACCTGCCCCTTTTGCATGCACAACTCTTTCAGGAATCCTCTCTCTGTCAAAATGAGCCATCTCATCAGTGAAAACAACATCTTGAACAAGAAGAGGTCCACGTGGCCCCACTGTCAGAATATTAAGCTTATCCCCTACTGGGTTCCCAGCACCAGTGGTCAAGACATCTGGTCTCTGAAAGCGAGAGACAGTCAATATCACAACACCAGAAATTAAAATGCCTCTACATTTCAGCCACACAATGGGCATTCCCGGTCAACCATTATGTGTCACAGGACATATTAACAAGTATATAGCACAATGGCATAAGATTCTGGAACTAGTTACAGGAAACACAGATGTCTACGTCATCACAGTACTATGTTTGGGGCTATTTAAGAAGGGGAGTTCACGTCACATGTAATCCAAGGATGTTTTCCATAGTTCAGAAATATCACTTGTTAAGACTGTATATCTTGCTTCAGTGTCAACCTTAAAACACAAGTTAAAGTTCAGTTTTGCCCCCCACCTCAACAGGAGAGGATGGGGAAAAGAGTGAGCTAGAAAAGGAGTAGTTGCTAGAAAGTAATAAGGGAGAAAGGAGACCAAGAAGGGATGGGGCATTAGGAAAGAATTAAAGTTGCACAGCATAAAGGCTAAAAAGGGGTATCCATGATTACCGTTGGTCTGGAAGAACTAGAGAAAATAGCATAAACAAGACTACCTGAGGAATCACCATTCTAGACTCTCGAACCATGGAAGGGCCAAAATTAACAAAAGCCCTAAGAAGCCCTACTGTCAATAAATGTCCTGTCAAAAGGACAGCAAACCAGAACATTTAATTTATTTTTTTATTTTTGACTAACATCATTATTGTCTTAAAAGAAGCTGCCCAAGATAGCCTATACTCATCCTTTTCTCCTCCCTTCCATACAAAGTTTAAGTTAACCATTCTTGTAGGCTACTTAGAGCTGCAGCATCTTGTACAGTAGGAGGGACCCTGTACCTGAAAAAAACAAACAAGCCACTCCAAGAAACATGTACTGGAACTCTGTAGCATGATAATGGAGTGCACTCCTACTCTTGTAAGAAAAATACCAGTAGAAAAGACTTTATCTGCATCACACAGGGTGTCACATGCTCCTCTAAGGCAACAGTCCTATTTTACTGGGTACTGTCGAAAATGCAGCAAGAAAGGTACATCGGCTCCAGAGACCTGATGGCTACAGGGGTCAATTTTTCCTGGAGCACATTTATTAACTGTTAGGAACCAGGGCAGCAATATTTGCAAAAGACTTAGAAGAACAGAATAGAAGTTAGTACAAAGGAAAAAAAAAAAAAAAGAAAAAAGAAAAAAGTTTGCAACAGGGTGAGTTCAAACATCCAAGTCACAGACTATGAGCAGTTAACACTAAATCCAGAGTTTCATGTTGCACTCCACTGACGTACATTCATACGGGATCTCTATCCATACCATCCTACCCTCCTCTGCCAGTAACATCCACACACCTGAACCATAGGAAACACACCGGAACAAACTCAGTCATCCCCTCCCAACTAGTTCTCCTTCTTTTAAAGTTCTATAAATGAAAAAGGGATGGCAAAGAGAGGGGAAAAGTAACTCTTGATGAGAGGGTCATTATTTTATCAGCAACTTTATGGGGTTCCAACTTCTATACTGACAATCTAAGTTTTGCCTCAAGTGTTTTAATTACTGTAAACAAGCAAAATTCCCATCTGTATGTATCTCATGGAAGAGTATACTGAACTGGACTAGCCTCTATGTTTGGGTTGGTTTTGGGTTTGTTTTTTTTTCTTCCCAAGAGGCAATCCACAATTCTGGATGAGGCAGAGCACACAGGGAGAGTTACATACACCTTTGTTTAACTCGGGTACATGAATAACCACATGAAAGACATTTGACAGGATAACTGCATTTCCAATGTGTTCTTACTAATATGCAACACACCACTCTAGCTGGCTTGAATTCCCAAAATATCTAGGCTCTTTATTCTTCATTCACCACTTCATTAGCATAAAGCTAAAAGCATAAATTCAACTCCTTGAAATCCTAACCTATGCTGAAATTTGTACAAGCATTTAAAAAAAGACAATATATATACCTGGTTACAAACAGGAACATTCATACATCCCCACAGTTCAGTCTAGTAAGTGTAAAATCTTCTACTTCAAGATACTCACCTAGCACAAATTAATGCAATTATATTATCAGCTCATTATCCTGACATTTTCTGTACTGAGGTACAAAAGCTACAGACGACCCATCTTGAAACCCATTCTAAGCCTCTGAAGAGCCCTTTCTTATAACACAGTACAGTCCGCAAATGATGAGAATATAAAAAGATCGCATCATATTTTTAATTGAAAAAAAGAATTTGTCGACCAAAAAGTTCAGAGTTTGCTTAGGGAGAACTACTTTTTTTTTTTTTAGTCCAGCTTCCAGCACTGCCAGTATTTTTCTTTATCTTCATAAGTTTTGCTGATTAAAAGTTCCAAGTTTCTCACAGCTAAAACCCAATGTATTCATTTTCCTAATCACAAAACCCCCAATGAATTTATATTGATGACTCTGTCATACATATAAGACAGGCAAACTCACTGTAATGTGCTGAAAAAGAACAGGTCCTACCAATGGCATCCTAAGCTTCTGCATTTTCCTCTCCAACCTTCTTGCGTTATCATTCATTACAGACATTTCCATCCTTCCCATGTGTTCTACGTACACAGTGACTTCTACTTCATCCCAACTCTAAGGCAGCTCATGACACTGCTACACAAAAATCCCATGTACAGCTTCAGCACCATTTATGAATCCTGACTACTGTAATTCTAAGAAAAGCAAACTCGGGGACTGGATCCTGGTAACTCTTTTTTAACGTGAGACATAGCTGTTAAGGCCCCTCCAAGTCCATACAGTGACCTTCTGAAATCACTAATACTTATGTCATCTTGAAGCAGCAACCAAGTTTCACTCAGAAACACAAAAGTTATGTTGAATTAGCACCCTGTTTATCCTGGAGTTCTTCATAAATTCTGAGAAGCCCAGTGGGTTTAACCACGCAGTGACAGGACTATGATACATATCCCTACATCTATGACCTTCTCCTCTACCAAGTCCTTGCAAAAGCTTGGTAAAAGACAGAAGAAAAGAAAAAAAAGAGTGAAACCTTAGTCTTAAGGAGACTTTTTGAGTCCTTTTGATTCACCTATTCCTTTAAAATATCTTCTGTGTGACCACCTCAAGGGTAGAAGAAAACCTTGCATATTATTTGTAAGCTATGCATGCAACAAAGAATATTTGTGAGGTAATACAGTCCTTCTCAAACCAAGCAGCTATACTGTTGTCTGAAAACCACTTTCTGAATGCTAATGTATAAAAATACTACTAGTAGCTAAAACCACAAGTTGTTGAACTAAACCTATCAAAAAATTTAACAGCTTTGTGGTTATACGGTCCCTTTTGTGTAGGCAGACTTTCTGAAAGGTTTTTTTCTAACGTTCACATTAGAATACAAACTTTTTTTTTTTTTAAAATGGTAGGATATATTCACTTTAGTTTCAGGAATGTTATGCAGGGCACACAAAACAAGTTCCATCAGTGTGAAAGGAGGGAAAAAAACTCAGTAGTTTTAATAGGAATTCTCATACTACTTTTGGAGTTGAGTTTGTTTGATGCCTATATTTTCCATATGGTTGGGAGCTGCATACAGTCAAAACCTTAAAAGATAAGAACTTTGAAATCTGCATGTGTATTTCATTACAGCACTAACCTGTCATGACAGAAAGAAAGGAAACAGCGCCAGGAGAATTTTAGTCACAGCTGCTGTAAACACCATACATCAAAGTACATACTTCCAGGCATTACTGATACTTTGCACCTTATACAAGCCACTTTAAAATTCTAATAAGCCCTCCCTACTTTCTATCTCGAGGTCTCATGACTCCTTATGCAACACAGACTTTGGGTTGCCTCCCAACCTTCAAATTAACCTCGGCCTGGCTCAAATACTGCTTTGTTACAGAAAAGCTGACATCCATATGAAAATTATTACTCACAGTACAAAAAGAAATTATTATGAAACATGCTAGGATGTGAGTAAGTCACAATTCACCACTGGAAGGTAGTTTTCATACAGTACCTTTTAGACCCAAGGGGGGAAAAAATGAAATCAAGATGACTTAACAACTACAAACAGTGGGAACTGACTTGTGTCTAGTAAGACTGCTGCTTAGTATAACCGACTGAAAAAGTATTTAATACCAAATACATGTTTCTGTCAAAAAATACATAGCAGAAACCGCCGCAGGGTTTTGACAAAGAAGGGAAATCAACTCTTTCAGCATTTATACCCAAATATTTTGGGGTGTATTCTACACCTTCAGAAGAATGACCGCCATGCTGTTGATTACACGTTCTTGTGATTTCAGCCAACCACTTGCCCCAATCCACTCCAACCTGGTAACGAAGCCTCCGCCCGCATACTGCCGAATGTGCCTCATCTTTCACATTACTCCCTCGTTACATTCTCACTGGGTTCTACCAATACGACAGCAGAACTGAAAACGTGCATATCTGAGTATTTGAGACGGGGGAAAATAAATTTAAGAAAAGAGTAATGTCTCTACCCGCTGCCAGGGGCGGCTGTGACCGGGCGGCTCCAGCAGCGCTGACCGCCCTTGTCCCCGCGGGCCGGCTGCCAGCCGCCGCCCCCCTTCGTGCTTCGCTTTGCCCGGGCACGGCACCAAGCCCAGCTCCGCCGTACGGCCCGAGGGCGACTGACCCTCCGCCGCTGCCCCGCGGGCGCCCTCCGGCACCGGGGCTCACCCGCTCCCCTCAGCCACCGTAATAGAGGCGGAGGGGGGGACAACCCCTCCCGCGGGCCCGTCGGCCCTCCGCCGTAACCCCCCCCCCCCCCCGCCGCCGCAGCGGGCCGGACCGTTACCGCCCAGCGGTGAGGGGGTCCCGAGGGCCGCAGCCCCTCAGGCCTCGCCGCCCGCCTCGCAAAGCCCCGGCGGGGACCTGCGAGCCCCGCTGGCTCCGCCACTGCTTCAGCTGGGCCGAGGCGTCGTCCCGGCTGTCAGCCATTTTGCAAGCTTACGCGACCCCCCTCCCCTCTTCCCCCCCTCCCCCCCCCCTCAAGGCAGGAAGGGCGGTGCGGAGAGAAGCTGAGGCTGAGGCGGCCCAGCGGGGCTGTGCTCGCTACCAGCGAGGAGGCAGCGCCGGAGAAGTCACCCCGCGGGGAGTCGGGGCCGCCGAAAGAACCGCCGCCGCGCCCCGCAGCACCAGCAGGTAGCGGGAGCTCCTGCTCCTACGGCTTCTACCCCCCTGCTGCGCCCCCCCCCCGCTACCTTCTCGGCCAATAGCGCTGCGCCCGGCGGGCAGCCTGAGCTGTGAATGGGTGAGGGGAGCGTCAATCAGGCGCTGGGTGCTGGCGGCAGCCCGCCGCCTCAGCCTGAGGGGCGGCGCGCGGGGGGCTGCGGTGTTCCCGCGTTACTCGGGTTTGAGTGTGTAATTAGCTGTGTGGGGGTGTGTAAGTAGCTTAATTTTTGGTGTGTGTTCTCCGTTTTGAGACGTCGGAACTTTCTAAAGTTGCTGATGGGGAAGAAGCTATTCAGGGGCGTAGGAAATGACAGGATGTGGGCACTGTGAAAACTGCAATTGCTGAGGGGATTTCAGAGGCAGGGTTTGTCTCAGCGGGGAAAAAATGTTTTAAATTACCAAATCAAAGTGACCAAATGTGTAGCTAAATGACCGTTCTTGTGTTTGTACCTCAAATGAGGCACAGGTGATACATTAGCATTGGTCATGGCTCATGCGCCCCCATTTGTAAACAGTATTTCTCTGGAGGCTTAAATTTGTTAGCTTAAAAAAACCACTCCAGTTCTAAATTAATGAGAAACTCCTTGATTTATACTCACAAATGATGAGGTAAGTAGGGTTCTCCTGTTAGGCAACTGTAGTTCAGCTCCTTAAAGCATCATCTTTGTGGGCAGCCCACAGGTCAGTCCCTTGGCTTTGTGCCTAAAGAATGCTCTACAGGTGATAAAAGGGGTTAACAGGCCGTTATTTTTCCTATTTCTGAGGCAAAACTTTTCAGCAACAGGAATAATCTGTCTTAAACTCTTAGGTTACCTGAGACTGGGCACTGGAAAGATAGCTGAAGATCTCTAGCTACTGGTTATTCTGTGGACTTCTGCTTTGTGGTGTGTACTTCTGTATAGGGCTCCTGGATGCACACAAGTGGATAAGACTACCTATATGTGCTAGAAAACTAAAATATATATTAGAAAACTAAATTTTATATACCTTTCCCCTTATTAGCTCTTCCCTAATGACAATGATTGGGGGTAATCATAGCAGATAAGAGAACTGTCTAAACAAACAGAAATTACCCGAATGCGGTTTGCAGGAATACTGGTTTATAAAAGCAACTGAGCCAGTAAGTTTTGTGTATGTGGTGGTTTGTGTGTTGTCCCCCCTCTCACTGTTGATCAGAATCTTAGTATGGTTCTTTACAGAGTACATATTACAACAATGAAGCAGAGCAGCTTTGTTTACCCATAGCCTGTCAGAAAGAAATGTAATGGGCAAAATACTTATCTGCAAGATTATGTCTACATTTTTTTTTTCTTTTAACAGGTACAGAGAATATGTGGTGTTCTTCCATACAGATTTTATTTTTTAAGGTGGCTGTTTTATAAAAGAAAAGACTGACTGACAAGTCCTATAGACTTAACATTAGGAGTGCATACATGCATGTTTTCAAATCAAGTAATTGATATTTCAGTTGGCTTAACCAGAAAAATGAGGGAAATGTGGACATTTTCATGAAGAGTTATTGTTTGCTTTTCCTTTAAAGTTTAACACTTCCTGTCAACAAATGCACGTAGATAAACTTACTTGTTGCAAATCTGTTTCAAAGTAAGAGTAACTTGCAAAAACTGCTTCTCTTTCACTTCCCATAAACCCTTCTTATTATAACTGTAATGCTAGAGGAAAGGATATATGTGCATATAAGTACATTTATGTCTGCATAAAAAAACAAGAAGAGATTAAATATTGGCTAAGAAAATATGCAAAAAAAAAAAATAATCCAAGGGAGAGCATGTGGCAACATCAATGGCATGTATTTTCAAAAATGTTTGCACTTTAGCTTTTCTACAACCAAGCAACGGTGTTTGATAAGAAAGGTCATATACAATGCTAAGTGAAGTGTGAAACAAATATGAAATTTTTCTCTCATCTTGCCTTAATCTTCTATCTTTTCAGTGAAGGAAGCATTGAATACTGGTTTAAATTCCACGGGTACCTTGCTGTGGGTATATTTATTTCCTTTTTTCCCCCTTCTATTTTGATATTTGATTCCTGCGGCATCTTATTTGCCTGCATAAGCCTCCTGTTATATATACATTAAGTAAACAAACTTCAAACAATTCCAAATTAATCGTCTTTATTTAGCTGGGGAGACTGGTTCTATGTTGCTGCTTGTCTTTCTAAGGCACAATCCAAACCACACTTCACCCTTCATTAAGATTTTGTGAGATTAAAAGTCATAATACTTAGCATTTGTATTTTGTTTTCTGTATTTAAAGTGAGTTTAAAAACAAACTGCAAGGTCAATTTCAGTCACACGCACACTGTATATAAAGTTTACGCACAGATCAGTGATTTACACCCAAGGGAATGATCTAGAATTAGTTGAGCAGAAGGTGAATAGTTTCTGTTGCTTTGCTAATTAAGTTACATAGGCACCTAAAGCTTCATGCTACTTATATCGGCCACCTTGGCGGGCTGACTTGGTACCTACATCCTGCTTATGATTAAATCAGATTCATAAATGTTCCCATGTTTTCTGCAATATCTGTTGAGTAGGTATACTCAGAGTACCTCTGCTACATAGCCAAACCATTTAGCTTCAGCACTGAGCATGGGGGCCACAGTGACTTTTATTCTAAAAGATCAGAAAAGAGAAGCACAAGACTGACTGCTCATTTTTAATTAAACTGATTATTGGTAAGAACACTTATCACAGGATTGGGAGACTTAATTTTTTTTTCTCCTTCTACTAAAGATGTTCAAACGTCTGACTTCCAGAGTATCCAAATTATGTATCTAGACATGCAGGTTGGATACGTTTTCTACCTGTGCCACAAGGGATAAGGTCAGATAGAAAAAAAATAAACACTGTTTTAGGCTCACATAATAAAAGTATAATTGATATTACTGAATGTATTTTCAGTTGTGAAACAAATTCATCTACTGCATGTACTCCAACTATGAAGTAATATAACAAACCTGTTCTTGAGACTTGAAATAATAATTGGCCTTGTTATAAATACCCAACCTTGGGATATTTACAGTACCTCAGGAACCTCTCCAAATGACATTTCCACGGGTCCTTTTGCTGTAGCTTCTGATGTAAGCATGAGGGCACAGAAAAAGCACTGAAAGAGGGACATATACTACTACTAAACTGTTGACTTACATGACAGAGGATTGAGGGGTAGGTACAGCAAGTACAGTCACAAGACAAAGGTTGCTATTATATTTTAGAAAAACAGAAAAATATTAATAGAAACAACAGATTAATGTCCATGGTAATACAGTAGATGGAACATATTGTCTGTCTTTATTTCAAAGTGGCAATACATACCCAAAACAATTTTTTATGTCAAACTTGCAATTAGATATACATGAAGTCGATGATATCAAAGGCCAGAAACATCTGGGTGACAGATGCTAAGGTATTAGACATAGTATACAGTGAGACAAAGAGATGAAATATGAGATATGTAATAATAAACTGGGGATGTCTGTATATACTTTGTAAGTTATGTCTGAAAACATTTTACTAGTTAAGCTATCATGATAATAAATTTATCATTTAGTAACTTGCATTATATGTAGTCTTTTTAATTTTGTATTGTCAGTCATCAGATCTAAAGGAAAACACTGAAAACATTGTGAAGTATAACATCTTCAGAACAGGTGGACTTAAGGGAAGATTGAGAGAACGATGCTAGCGGAAAAGGTAAGCAGGAAGGATGGAAAAGCTGCCTTTTATGGGAAATAGCACATGTATATTGGGCTATCAGTTGACAGAGATACTGAGATGCATAGCAGAGAGAAAATGAGGACTTCTAAGAAAATACATATAGAAGAAAACTAAGAAAAGGCAGATCGGAAGCCTCTTTTTGTGTTTGTAATTTTCCACCATCCTCTGCTGTAGGTATGAAGGAAAGGTCTTAATTTAAACCACTGGAGAAAAATACTAACCTCATAGATAGAAAAGTGTGTTAGAATAATAGTAGTTTATAAGTTTCAAACTACATGTTTTTTCTTTTCCTCTGCTTCTTTCATTCTCCATAGACAATAAAGACTTCAGTGATTCTGGAGCAGATGTCTTCAAACTTTAATAGTGTATGTGTTTAGTAAATGTCAATGGATACACCAGACCTAGAGTAAAATAAATTCTGCAGTATTTTTACCAAAAAGAGAATTTAATTCATCTATATGCATGTTTTGCAATAGTTTATTAATTTTCATAAACAGTACTCCTGATCATCATCATCAAGAACTTGTATTTCCTATTTAGTGCTGGAAAGACAGCTGCAATATACTTCTTGAGATAACTGAAAGAAGAACAATAATAGAATGAGAAATGCAACATTTTTTGGGTGGTAAGGTATTCAAACATATATTTAGCATCCTGGATATCTCAGTTTTGTATTTTTATTCCTAGAAACTATATTATTAAAATTATTTCATATCATATCAATACAATTTTCTTTTGTTAATGCATTTGCTTTTATTTGAATTTCTTTCAAGTTAGAGCACCAATAAGTAAGCTTATGAATGTTGTTCTGTATTCATTCTCTTTATTATTAGCAGTGTTGCCTGAAGCATTTACCTAATAGTAGTTAATAAAGCATGTATTTTGAAACATGATTTTGCCTGTTCATGCTTCATTTTGCATAAGAAAAGATTTAAAGCTAGACACAGCAATATTTTTTTCTGTTGTTAAAATCAGAAGCTCTTAAGCTTTTAAATGGGTCATCCATCCAGTATGACTTAGTCACATGTGCTTTAAGTTAGTCAAGTGCTTAA